TTCTTACAGGATGTTACACAAACACTGGATTCATACATGCTTATTATTAACACTAATCCAAAGTTGGTTGAAATAATAATAATGAATTATTATTAATATTTCTGTGATGATAACTATGTAAACTAAATCTGCCACAATGCAGATTATATGATAACAATATACTAGGCTACTATATGAAACGCTTACCGCTGTAAATGGCATAATAATGTTTCCATACTGTTTGGAAACGAAACATAAGGCTGTAGTATGCAGAATACTAGTATTTAATAAGACGGCGGTGTCGACTTTTATAGTAACTTTTTAAAAAACAAATAAATAAATAAATAATTCGCAAAGTTTCTGACCGCCTATATTATTTGAATGATTTTATTAGTAGATGAACTGGCACTCACCATCTTGAGTTCTCTTTCGATCTGAACTGCCCTCTGGACTATGGGACCCCGTACAGCGTATTCCACGCGTTTAACGTTCGGGTTCATCGTGTCCATCGTCAGCACCCTGTCACGGTATTCACAGCCGTTCTCAGTCATTCTCCGTGTATTCCTTTTCAGAGAATTTCTGGTGAAAAACCTGGTGATAACAGAACAGACGTGCAATACTCAAATAATACGGCAATCAAGAACGTCATATGCATGCACATCCTCTGTTTCCCCCCTTCTTCTTCTTCTTCTTCTTCTTCTTCTTCTTCTTTCTTCTTTCTTCTTTCTTGGAGGAGACAAATTGACACGTGTGCGATGGCACCTCTTGTATCCATTAGTTTTCTTCTTCTTCTTCATCCGCTCTTGATTCTATGGTAGCCCATAGAACTTTTGGGAAAGTTATCAAATCTGGCACATAGATAAAGCCAAGGACGCCTTTTAACCATAGCAAATTTGGGGCAGTACTCCAAATCACTATAGGCGGAGTTGGCAAATGCTAGGGGGGCAGTGCATCCATATGTGCGCTCAATAGATTATTTTTTATATATATAACGTTATATAATAATCTTTTTTATTATGGCTGCACGATAAATCGAAATAAATATGGCTAAATGCGATAGTATTATCACGAAGGCTGCCATTACCGTTAACAGAGGCCAGAGACGCTAAACGCACAGAGGACGTGCAAAATATTGGAAGAAAATCCTAAATAGTAAATTGGGGATGAGATTTACATGAATGTATCTGAATATTCATAAGAAAAGTTTAGATGGCAATTTTTTTCATCTTACCTCCATATAATGCTCATTAAAAATGTTTCTATAAGCCAGGGCTGCTTTGTTTACAGCGGTAACTAAGGAAACGCTATATTGCTGTT